ATTGACAGCCGCATCGAAAGCGAAACACAGTAGCATAGAAAAATTGAAGTTCATACGATACAAAATCCGTACGGAAGCATAAGCTTCGAGTCAGTGATGTGTGTAACAACACCCGAAACCACTCTAATCGTCAACCAGAAAGAGTGGGAGAGAGCGAGATGAACAAATTAATCGGATTACCGTCGCGCGCGCGTGTGTATGTGTATACAATTGCATGGGTGTGTGGTGTGTGTTTTTGGTATATTTGGATTTGGTTTAGTGATACAGAGAAATGGATTTTTCACCATATTTTGTATTTGTTTCGCATTTTTATCTTCCGTCCCATGTTTCGAGTGTGACATTCGACTCTGATTTCGTCGTTGACTCGTGTTATTCCCATTCGCGGTGGTTTTTTTTCCTTTACACCTTCCACGTATTAGGGGTATTTTTTTCGGGACGTCACGAGAAGCAAATGTTTTTGAATGAAATGTAGGAAAATAGTGTAAATAGATTGGGAACACCATCAGATACACTCCGTGATAGCTTTATCTCGGTGCTGCTGTTTTTGTATGCAATGTTCGTACAAGAGTTATGCGGATTTTAATTCGGAATAACATCACCGGAAAATTTGTATATATAGGTACATGGCAAATAAAACATAAAAAGAAGATATCGGCACGGTACAGTACCATGGCATCGGGACAATAACAGTAGCGATGGCGATGGCGATGGCGATGGCAGTGGCAATGTCAGTCATGTGAATGACAAAATGCTCTTCCGTCAGCCGAACCGAACTAAACATTCCATGCGGTGTATGCAAAGGTTGATGATGCCAATTTACACACCCACAAAAATTGTAACAAAAAAAAGACACGCACACACTCACACACATACATATAAACGTCAGGCAGTCAACGAAATGACTCGGCCGTGGTACAGTGCCATGGTATAACGTCAATCTGACAACACGTGATAAGAACTTTTTCCAAACACATTTTTTGTTTGGTTTAACTTTTTTCTAACCTCTTGTTTGGATCGCTGTTACGAGCACGCTTAATGCCGAATGCTGTCCGTACGAGAGCAAAAAAGCCAGGCAATGAGAGAAAGAGATGCTAGTGACGAAGGTAGATAAATCTACCAAATATGTCGGATTGTTTGCATCGCATTTGTTGGCGCGAGCACACAAATTTCCGCATAGACGCCGTTAGTTTGCTTACGGAGAGAAAAAATAATGGTATCTCTACGAAAAAAAAAATCGTAAACACGAAAAAGTATAGACAGAAAAAAATTGCTGGTGCCATTGAAATGGGAGAATAAATCTCATTAGTTTGGTGTTTCTTTCGCTTTCCCTTTCTTGCGTTCTGTTTTATGGCAGCGAGAGTTTTTATATTCGCCAATCGAAATAATTTCGCATAAAGCAAAAGTGTTTCTGTTCGTGAAATGCCGACGACGTCAGGGCCGCCACTTTGGTTACATCATATCGGTAAAAGTATTTTATGATTTTTCCCCGTACGTCGTGTGTCTTTCGGTTGTGTGTTTACCAATGATTACGATATTAATTAAACTACATAAATTTCCGAAACTAATCAAAAACTCATTTATCATATTTTTTTTCGTTTTCTCTAGTGGCATTTGCCATCCGCCATTCATGGATATGCGCCTTACATTTCTTCACTCGTGTAAATCGTAATGCATTAATTTCAATTTTTTTTTTCTGCTGTCCGGCTCGGTTCCTTCATGTATTTCAGCTGTTTTTGATATGGATTTACTATTATGGAACAGAGAATTTCCCACTTGGCATGTCGGCCTTGGTCGCAAAGTGACCACTAGAAAGCCGAGGAAAAAAGTTGTAATGATAAATTGTGTGACACGAGGGTTTGATGCTGTTGCTGAAGTGATAAGAAAATTGCATTTTTATATTGGTATGTTCTTATGGCCAGCAACATGACTTAGTATTCACTCCATCCATATGCTGGATGAGTTGTTCCCAACGCAGAATTTCATTCGATAAAATGACGTAAGAAACCGTTTTTTCTCTTGTTTGTGCATGTATAAAAAAACGGTTGTTGTGTATGACCTTTGCTCATGACCTGTTAATTATAATAAAGTGACAATTAACACCCCAGGCCAAAATCAATAAATATGTTTCATAGAATCGCAGAATCAAATCGAAAGAATCATTACGCGCGATGGACTTTCTTTCGATAAAAGAAAATCAAATTCATTAGGACTACATGCAGTACATAAATTCCAATCAATTTTTATGATCGTTTCGATTACAAGTTAATTTTGTGGATAGAAACGATAGCATGCATTGATTTGTTCGTCAACGGGCAAGCGTCTTTATGAAACTTGATTATCTCGTCACCGTCGTCGTCTCAACGGAATGAAAAGAAAAGAGAGGAAAAAAGGTGAAAGGTACCGAGACGCAATATTGAAATTATTTATCGATAAAAATAAATAGCTTCTGCTTGTGTTCCAAGTTACTAACTGCGAAGCATTTTTTTTTCAATCGATTCGATCAAGTCTACAATTGGATTTCATGTTTGGCAATTGTTCCTGATTTTACCGCCGATTGATCTTTGACTTTAATTCTGAAGTTCAAAAATAACATGAAGATCATTAGTGATTCATTTTCTTCTTCTTCTTCTTCTTGTGAAGAACCATTTTGGATTTGAACATTTTCAAACAGTTTTGGCCTTTTCATCACGTTTCACAAATTTAAATCAACATGAAATCATTTTTAATGAAAACACTTTTGCATCTTTGTTATTGTTTTCGTATGTTGTCAATAGTTTTCGAGGATTGAGACCATCACTAAATCAATCAACAACAATAATAACAATAATTGTTTACAACGTTCGTGGTGAGTGAGCTGAATTCGATTTCGAAGATGAAAATGTTAATGATGAACGCAAAAAAAAAATCTTGTTACGTTCTAATTGGTAAATTCATTGAATGATTTTTCGTTTCATTTTTTTCGCCTGGCATTTTGGTTCGGCCGAATCAGTGTTTCTATTTCGATGGAAATAGCAAAATTGACACGACTGCTAGTATGTTTTCGGTTTGGAATGGAGAAAAAAATGAACAAATCATGACACAGAGCAATTTATAAGTTGATCAATTTTGTATATGAAAAGCTCGCTGTGCACGCCATTCGTTGTGTTACTTAAGTCAAAGTGCGATCTTTTTTTTTCTTTCGCCGACACATCACAACTGAGAAGTCAATCAAAGAAACAGGCGGCTGACATGATTTTCTATTATGACTACAAGAATTTTCCTCAAGTAAAACATACATTTCACACAGAGTGATGGCATTATAACTCACCATTATTTAATGCGAGCATTCTCTTTCGCTGTTTTCTTTGTTGTTGTTGCCATGCAAACAATTTAAATTGATTCCTTAAAATCGGTGACCGGACATTTAAATTCAATGAAAACACCAGAAAAAAAATTTACAATGCAAACAATCGAACAATAACTGTTGCTTGCTGCTCTCGAACCAATTAATAAAATTTTAATCTCACTTCATCTAATTTGAATCAATTTAAAATGGATTGCTCCACTTAAAAACATGAAACGGATTATCTATGGAATGAGAAAAAGTAGGTAAAAAAAAATTGGTTTTAATTTTAGCGCCATCTCAAAACACACGCGAGCGGTGAAAGCATTGGTTCTGAATAAATTCATTGAAAAATGTGTGTAACTTAAACTTTTCAATCAATGACGAAGATTGTGTGTAAAATGTGACGTGATTTGATATTTTTTTTTGGCACGGTTACGGTTCATTTTTCATCTGATTATCGATTTATTGACTAGAAAAAGTTTTCCTTTTGTATCTGACCAACGAAATGTCTGAAATCGGATTTTATCGATTGATATTCATCGATTTTGTTCGTCGTTGCAGAGACGAAAGAACAAATAACAAAATAATGAAACTTTGAAAAACCGAAAATTCGAAGAAACTATTCATCTGTTTTGTTATTCAGATTATTTTGTTGTTATCTTTCCATCTTTTGTTCAACAGAAGAAGGAAAAGAAACTTCGATGTTTGACAAAAGATAGAAGAAACGATTTTGATGCGAATGGTATTTGATTTCAAGTTGCAAATAATATCGATAATGATCGACTATTCGGTCGTTCGTTCGTACACACAAACACAAAACACAATTACTTCGGCTGTGCAGCAAAATAAATAACAATGAAAACACGACCACGACAATAATGGGAAAGAGGGACTGATCAAAGAATTTGACGAAAACTCGAAAGCCAATAATCAAATAGTTTGATCTCGATTTGCTCTCACTCTCAACGCAATCACATCTTTTATTTAAAAAAAAACGGCTCCGCTCTTTGTTGCATGCTTTTCCATTTCTGACTTTTTTTTACTTCTACTATTTTCAAATGGCAAAAAATGAAACACTGGCTGCTACTGCTGCTGCTGCCTGCTTGTCGCTTTGTACACATATCTGCATCAAAAATGATGGAAGAAATAGTTTGCGAGTTAGCAAACGATTCATCTCAATCAATAGTTTGTTTCCATCACTGAAATTGAATTGCTGAACGTAACAACACAACATGCCATCGAATTCAATCCATCCATCTTCTCACTAGTTTCAACATGAAATGTAAAGAATTTCCCTTTTTTCGCTCTCGTTTTTGTTTCTTCCATAAATATCCAAAGTTGAAATTTGGTACGTACACAAAAGGAATCGGTCCTTTGTAGTAGCAAAGCAAACAGAAACGAACATGCAAAACACGAAATAGCAGCAGCAACAACAACAACAGTAACGATAACAACAAAAAAAAAGCACATGAAATCAAGTGAAATGTGACGAGCAGTTTGATGAAAATACGGAACATAAACAATCCACAAGGAGCACAACATAAAATAATATATGCACACGGAATATATGATATCGACGACGATGATGTCAATGGTCGTTCAGAATGATACACTTGGGAATCAATTTCTTGTCTGTAGTTTATTGTCTCAATTCGAAAGACCGTTTGCTACTTACTTTTGGCTTGAGAAGAATGACCGAATTATGGTTGCGAGTGTAGTAAAGTATCGTCGTTGTGATGAACAACTGGAAAATACCGACACATTCACACACGTCAGAAAAACGAAAAAATAGAACGAATAATAAAAACGAACGAATTTCTCGATCCTCACTAAACTGCACACGATGTTCAATATCAAAATAATAAATAGCACATTGTCTTCGAATATATATATTCTTCTGCTCTATCTCTCATTCCTTTCGGTATGTATTCTATTTTATGTATATAAAACTCTCATTGTTAAACAGTCGTGATATAAACGTAATCACAATCCAAACGGAAAAACACATCAACAAAAAACTCGATCGCTTTAACCGCAAAGTTGCTCTTGTCACTGAATTCCAATATTTTTCGCTTTGTTCATTTATTTATTTATCAATTTCAATCAATTTTCCACTCTGAACTTTTTGATTAATTTCCGTTTTAATTTTTAAAAAATCCGAAAAACAACATAAACACTGCTGCTGCTCTGGCGTCGGCGATGGTGGATGGTTGTGAACGAGAGAATTTTACGTATATGTGTCTATTTCGGAAATTCTCTTCAAACCATTCACCCAAAACAAACAAAATAAGCGAAATATTTTTGTTTAATCGCAAATTATTTCAATTAATTCAAACCCGGTTAAAAACAATCAATAATGAAAATATAAAAAAATCGAAATAATTCAAGTTGATTTGGCGAACAACGATTATTTGACTTCAGCCAAACGGTTTATGGGAATTTCGAGAGAGGCGATGTACAAAAAAAGTCGTACGAACAAACGAATAAATCTCATGTACGGACAAAAAATTCGATTTGAACAACTATTCGCGTTGAATGTATGTTCCGAACTAAACGTAACCGACAGCCCGAACAAGAGACACGACCGACGATAAATCAACGAACACTCCTAATGTAATGGAACACACAGAGGATACGGTAATACGACGCGATACGTTACGATGCATGTTTATTTGCGAGTGTGAGCGTGTGTGTATGCGTGTATGTTACGACGAGTGTAGCCGAACGAAGACATTGCGTTTTCCATGTAAGAGCGGACATGGTTTTTGTTCGGAGGCGTCCGATACTCAAGAATGCACATAAAACAGTTTCATTACGATGGGATTGTCATGAACGTGCGTGTTGCATTCATGCTTCACTTATTTGGCACGGCGCACACATGCGACGATGCGATGTGACGCAATGTCGCATGGAGATCAAAACACAACATGAGTAAAACCGCACGCCACGTCTTTGGCTGATGCGGCGCGGCTCGTGAGCAGTTTAAGCTTACCATGGTGCGATTCAACGTACTAGATTGTTTCTCCTTCGAATGAATTGGATTCATTCTCTCCTGGCATTCGATTTTTTCTTTGCTTTTCACTGTTTACAAAGAACTCCCAATCTTTCTTGTGTTTTCTTTTGAAAAAAAATCTTTCACATGCAAATTAAATTCAAAAACGCTCTTATTTTAGCTTTGATGTGGTAACGGTGGCGGTTGATGTGACTTTCAAATTGGATCGTATATTTTCATCATTCGAGTCTTTCCAGTTAGAATTCTCATGGCTTGGACTTGTGTGTGTGTGTTTTTGTGTGTTTGTAATCTTATTCAGAACTGAGAAGATTTCGGTACACGTACTTCCGTATGTGCAAAGATATTCAAGAGGTGATTTTTTGGGTCAAATGTACACACTCTTGCAAAGCATACTAGCGAGATAGCATGTTAGTATAGTACGCATAAGACGTTGATGGTAATGATATGACTTGGAATGAAAGTGTTATTTACGTGCCTGGACCTGAGTGTTATCTATAACGGCAGCTGTTTGTTCCATTTTACCTATTCTCGCGCGGGTCGTGTGACTGGAATTCGAGTCGTCGATTTAAACACATTGACATAGCGCGCACAACGTATGACTTAAACTTTGAATCAACCACCACCACCACCGCTGGCTCGCATGATTTATGCACGGAGCTGCTTGTGTTTCTTTTTATCTACACCATTTTCAGCAGAACGAACGATATCTCGATGTTTTGTTTGCATTGAACAGCGAATAAATTGCTGTGATGTTGAATTTTAGATGAAGAAGTCATGTTTTATGCACGCATCGATACGTTGAACAGAAATCAATCAAAATTGGCATACATTATTTTCGAAACACAAGGACTTTGCACCCGCCACCATTGCTTCACTGGAGCACAACTGAACAATCGGTTTTACGGTTTATGGCAGCAAAGAGAAATACAAACGAATCTCACCATTGACCTTGACTAAAACTCAATGTACACACATACACAATGGGTGTGTTTATTCGTTGCAGCCAAATCAATCGTCGAATTTTTCACGGTTTTCAATTTACGCGATCATTTCTAATGAAAAGCGAAGAGATGAACGATTCGTCAGCGTGTTGTGACGTGAAAGAATATGTGTACAGAAATCGAAACAACTTTAGACTCGAGTCTTGATTGGCGATCATAATCAACAACCATTTCCAAAAAGTATAGAATCAAAGTAAACAAGACGACGAAAGATTGAAGCGTGTGCTCTATGCTCGCTTTGTGATTGATTGATTATAGTTGTTACTTGTGGAACAGCTCAATTTCAATTCATCTGTGTGCTTCAATTGAAATGGAATTGTTTGTGTCAGCATGCGATGCGCATAAAAATTCCTTATGGAAATCCGAAATGAATGAATGCGTAAATAAATTAGCCTCGAACATGTCGACGACGCACAAGTGGAATGAAAGCGAAAACTTTCCATCATCTGACGGGCGGCACACAGAGGCGAAGAACCATTTGTAAACGTGTGTGTGTTTGTGCTGGGGATGGAAAGAAGAAGAAAAAAATGCTTTGGTGCAAAGAATCGAAAGCGACCAATCGATGAAAGTGGCAATAAAATGTGTGAACGCTTGAACTGTTCACCGAAATTTGTGGCTGGATATCGTTTCACTGGAAATGAGAACGAAGAGGGTGTGTGTGTGTGTGTATGAATCGAGCGATAGCCATAAAGCTGAATGAATAAAGACCGAAGGCATTCCGGAATAAAGGACAGTCAACCAAAACAAAATCGGAAGTGTTTATTGCGACGTTTTTTTATGATTCCTTCGACTTTTTTTGTCCGGCTGATTTTCGGACATTTCTTCTTCTCATCCTTCGGTTCTTTTTTTCCGTTCGATGCGCGTCCACATATTAACATTTTAAGAGTACTTTGTCTTCTCTTTTGGCACTAATAGGTAGCAAATGGAAATAATACTTGGATCTAGAAAGATAGTAGTAATTCGGAAGGTTGGATTCGAACAAATGCTGCGAAATTGTCTCTGACTTATGAAGCGAATTCCTGAGGTCACTGAAACACACCAAAAAATATAAACTGCCAAAAACCTGGCAAAGCGTCGTAAAAACTTATTATATTTTTTTTCGTATATGTTTTATTGCTTTCGGCACTCGGTTTCATTGTTCGCACAGTGTAGGTTCATGTCAGCGTGTCTATGGAAAAGGTGCTAGAAACAAGGAAGTGCGAAAAAAACGCGAACCAAACCGAATTAATAACATTAAGAGGAAACAAATAAAAAAAATATGGCCATAGTGAATAATCTGAAAAGTCAGCGAGAAACGGAGTTGCTGTGAGCAGCGATCAAATTATTAGACGGTATTTGTTTCTGAGAACAGCAACTCTATATCTCTCTCAAGACATGGATTATTTAACAGAACACAAAAAAACAAAGAACGGAAAATATTACTTGTAAAACGAAAGTGTTTCCTATGCAAAGATAATGCGGGCTGCAACACAACGAAAAAAAAACAATTCAAAAGTCATAAAAATATTTAAATTTGTTTGGAATTCATAACACGATTTATTTTATTGTTGCTGTAGATTAATCGATACGATAACGGGAGCGAGGTGCGATGCATAGGCCTATATTTATCTTTGATTCGTTCGGTTAAGCAAACAGTCGTACAATTCGGACGGACTGAACAAGGGAATAAAGGTAATCCCATAAATTTTCCCAACATTTTGTATTGAATTATGTGAATTGACTGCTACCGCCACAACAGAAATGCACCATCTGACCCCACGTTCCGATGGCATTCATCATCGGCAAAACTCTTTTAAAGTGACTCTCGCAATAGTTGTGCTAACAGTGTTTTAAGTAGAATTTTATGTTCGTCGAAATGGTATGCTTTAAATTTCTTTTTCTTCTGTCGGTGGAATACTTTCGGTGAACATCTTCTCTCTTCTGTCAAAAAAAACAGAAGTGAAAAATAGGTGAACAAAAAGGTGGCCATAATTTCGGGTACTAACACGATTCTTGTGAAGAAACCCATAAAAATGATCTTGTTTGCGCGCACCACTGAAATAGTCCAATCGAAAGATGGAAGGCTTGATTCGATCGTAAAATATCCGCATTTACGTTGAATAGATCATTAATGCTCAACAAAAAATCGTAAAAGTCACCGTTTACGATGGTCCACACACATTTTAAATGCGAACTTGTACTTAGCGATTGTTTATTTTTCGGTATAAATCATTTTCGCTTTTAGTACACGCGGTTAGTAGCTTACATCGGAATTTGTGTGTCGTAAAAAATAAAATCATCTCCAATTAATAGAGCAACAGGAATTGTTTGCTGTTTATTATTATTATATTACCGAAGAAGAAAAACTGTGTCGGAAGCTGAACTTTCAAAAATTATTAACTGAAGTGCGCGCGTGCACAACACATTCGGTTCGGTTTTTCTATAAATAATCTATTTCAAGTGATAATATGAATTTGAATTGTTCTTTTCTTGCGTATTTCATCAGCTGGGATTAACGTTTGGATTTTTTTCTTCTTCTATTGTCGTTAATGAAATTCGCATAATTCTCGGTCGATTCTTTGTTGTTTTGATGGTTTAATAATAAAATTAAAAAGATGTCGATTTCGAAAAACCACTCTTTATCGTCGATTTTGTAGAAAATTAACATATGAATAAAATGTCAGCGACCTGTATTTTTTTTCTCTTCTATTCTTTTAACCAAAAATTGAATTTCTTTAGAACATCAAATACTGTTTTTTTTTTTCAAAAATATACCTATTTGAAATATGAGATCAAAAAAATACCAGAATCCTATTTAATCCAAGGAATTCGAGATGATCGTTTCATCAATGTGGTGGAAATGAAGACACTTTTCAAGTTGATGCTTATCACATCATCAATATATTCGGTGTTTTTTAAGAAGTATGACGCAGAAGGTGGTGTCAAGATGAAGAAACGGCGACTCGGTGATGATGTCTTCCCTCAACTATCTGATCAATCTTGATGGATAAATGATGTATGATGTGATGGTAGTGTTGCTTTCGTAATTGTGTTGGATTCCAATATCGAAGTGATAAAGAGGGTCGAAGGCGAAATGACACATACTGCGCCTTTTGATGGAACGCACTTCAAAACACGAAAATAATTTTTAAATTAATGGAAATTTTTCATTGGCCCACGTTTCAAAGGCATGGCACGTACATCGCGCAGTGAACTGTAAAGCCGTTGTTCTTTTTATCGTTAAATAACTTTTCTCCTTATTGCCACAAACTTTCGAATTGGTAAAATAGACAATGTTGCGGTTCTGTGTGACTGTGACAATCGTCGAATTTCAATGAATTTACAAATCTGATAAGATTAAAAGCTACGTAATATCTGAAACAAATTAATAAACCCTTAAATAGGCAGAGAGTGTGACTAAGATAACACAAATCTCGACATACACGAAGAATCTCTTAAGCCATCAAAATCAAATTATTAGATGTTGATGTTCCAAATTATTGGTTTGATGTGAATTTTGGAAGTCAATAACTCTTTG